GGAGTGAAGCCCAATTGGAAGATCCCCAAATCAGATAGCCCAAAGAACGAAACCCAATCGAACAAATCAAAATGAAGGCCCAAATAAGGAGGCCCAAGAATGTGGTAACGCCATCACCCAAGTTTGCAAGTCGCCCAGAATTTGAACGAATAGAGTGTCATACGGTCGTCCAGAGCTGTTACTCCATTCTCGCCCAAACCTTCAAGTCGCCCAAGGTATCAACAAACATAACGCGTCGTGGTTATCAAGAAATACAGTTATCAAAGCAGTTGTTAAAACAGCCCTATCACGTTCCACGATTCAAGGAATTCAATCGAAAGCGGTTGAACGATGAAAGGTAATGGCAGCAGCTAAAAGGCAGTTTTCATGACAAAATGGCCACTACGAAGAAAGTGGGTAGTTATAGGACGATCAAGCAGTTTTTAGAGTAGTTAATCACAAAGAGATCGTCTATGAAGTATAAAAGGGAGAAAGGACATAGAAGCAAAGGGACCGAATCCAAAACTCTCAAACAGAGAATATGTAATTTTCATTTCCTTAGTTTTTAGACTTAAACACTTTTCTTTCAGTAACTCGTGTGCTTGCGCCCCTTGGAGGCACGTTGTTTTTCATTTCCAATTGTAAAGTCATCGCCAATAAAAGAACACCCCTTTTTGGGACTTTGTCTCAAGAGGTTTGTCCCTTACACAATCGTCTGACCCTTTTTAATTGTTAGCGACTAACCCGCGCGAAACACTTTCCTTTGTTCAGACGATCATTGAAGAGAAAAAGTGGAAAGTATGTTCATATTCTTTTGTACGACTCATTCTTCCATGACAAGCATTTCTTTTGAACTTGTTCATTTCATGCATAATTGTGTGTTCCAAATTGACTAATCTTCCTCCATTGAAAATCACATGTGAGTTTATTGATTCGAGTGTAACACAATCAATTATTTAAAATAAATTTGGTATAAGCAAATTTAAGAGCAACAGACTACAATCATTATCTTCTATTAATGCATTTATTTATTTTAACAAGCAACTCGATGCATAAAGCGATTGAACGAACTATGTCGGAAGGTTTTGATAGCTCATAGAGAAAATCATATACTAACAAGCACGACTAATAGTTGAGCTGCATTTACGTAAAATAGTCATAAATTTTTTCCTCTTAAAATTTAAAAAGTTTGTACGAGCTAAGGACCTAGATCGGGCCATTTATGAGTCAAGTCTGACCCAATTTTTAGTTGCCTTATTTCTCCAAATTGAAGTTCAATCACTTACTTGCAAGTATGATAAAATTTCAGGTCCCTCTAGGCTCTAGTGCAATCATGTGTGGATCTACTATGTGGACAGTGGGACCGCTGCCCCCACTCTAAATTTGAAATACAAGATTTTGCAATAAAATTTTCAAGATTTCACACAATTTTCAAAAGAAATTGTTTATAATTTTCAATTTTGCACTTACAATTAAAAATGAGTGAAATTTGCTCCCACAACCCTATGCTCTTGACTTTATACCTAGGTGCAATTAACCTAATGTTTAATGACCCATGGAAATAGCTCAGGTGAGAAATCGTTGTTTTTAATGAACATGTTAGCTATTTCACGTGATCTCATTGACGAAATCCAATACAAAGTGCCTTGATTATACCATATTGAAGTTCAGTAATCCATTTGTAAGTGTGGTGAATGTTCAGTGACCTGTAATGGAATTAATACATTACTTGTCACACGCTTTTCTTTGTTCAAAACTTCAAAAACTGGTTCAAGAGATAAGGAAGTATGTTCCAATTTTCCCATGAAAACCATTTCTTTTCAATTTGTTTACCTCATACATTACCTAAAAACCACGTCAAATTGACTTTCCCTCTGCGCATGTAATACTTGTAGCTTCTTATTCATATTAATTATTTGTTTTTGTTATTTAAGAACTAGAGCTAGAAGATAGTCATTCCATTGAAAATTGTACCATGATTTTTCTATTACGGTTGCTCATTTTGTGTGGACGTTATTGTTTCTTTGGCTTTAATTTAATGATGCGCCTTCATTGTCCTTTCCTTGCACAAAATGTCGTACGTGTGAATAAACTTGCGATTGTATAAAAAGGTTGCCTAGTACCTGTTTCTCTAGTGGAGTAGAAGTTTCCTAAAACTTTTAAGTAATAAACATTAGAAACCTTTTCTTAAGTAAATATGAGGTTCAACAGCTCGATTCATACAAGCACAAGACTTGTCTATATTTTGCTGCCATTACGTTAGAATCACGTCTGTTCCATTTATAGAGACTCTCAAACCTTATTATCATAAATATAATTTTTGTTCCATATTTTGTTTATAACTGCCTCTAAATTTGAGTTTTGGCAGCATGATATGCACAATCATCCATCATCGGCTGCAATTTTGTTAGAATCATGCTTCTTTTCAAAGAAATGTGACCATTTATCTAGATTCTCACTCGAGTCCACTTCAACATATAACCTTGTTATCACACAGGATTTTTCTATATTCCACGAATATGATCCCTTTCGGTTAATGAATTCCACATACAGCCCTTCTACCTGCGATAAAAACAACCAAAAGCTATCTTTCCAGCCTCTGAACACCTGAAACCCCATTTTCATTTTTCAATTTAATCTCAAACCATCCAGGAATTCTAAAGCGACTACCTGTTTTCACAAAATCCTGGTCTGAAATAGTTTAAATGAGAACCACTTTCTATGTTTATGAATGAAACAAAATTAAGTAGTAATAATAAACATTATTTTACTGACAAATCAATAAACATCCAATATCCCAAAATTCAGTATACAAAATTTGATCCAATTACAATGAATAAACTCAATTAATCAAATTCAAACCTAAATTACACATGGAAAATTTGTATAACTGAAGGTTTGTCTAACAAATAAAGAAAGCCTAGATAGGTATGTTGAAATCAAACAAGCGGTCTTTTATGTAAATAAATAATATACAGAGAAGAGAAGATAGCATTACAGGTCCCTCCTACACAGTGGGCAAGATCCATGTCTAAGCAGCCAGGTATCAATGCAAGGTAGATGAAACATGTGGTGGCACTGAGGCAAACGTCGAACAGTTTCCTCGACCTGGAAGTCCTGAATGTTTAGAAGACAATGCCGTGAGATTTTCTTTGCAATCAATTTAACTGATTAATAAAGGAAACATGATAATTTGTAATGAATAGTACCTGAAGGCAGACTGAACAAGAAACTCTCTCCCCAGAAGCATCAACATTTTCATCTTTACCAATTGTAATCTTTGGGATCTTTTCAACTGTGTCTCCAGCCAAACCTTTTGCCCCGCCCGTGTCAAAAATGTTCTGGACCTCTTCAAATGTAGTTGTTTCCACAGCTCCCATCTAATTTAAGAAAAAAATTTATTTAGAACATCTGAAGTCTAAGTTTCTGTAGAATCCCTGAATCATGTCTCGAAATAGAAATATACTTGACTTTGCACAGCACTAAGCATAGCTGGACCAATGCGCTCGCGGACAAGTCTACCGCTTAAAAGGCTCGCAATCACATCAATCTACACAATTTCAGAATATTAACAATCATAGTATGTAAAAAGTTTCAATTAAGCAGTTCAATCAAGAATTAGACCATAAAAGTGATCTAAAATGGGGTAATCTTTTGGGTAAAGCCTGTTGCTCACCAAGTACAGGATACACCCAACGCCAGATTCATCAGATTGCCATAAAAGCAGTGAAGACTCGAAGACTTCAATCGAGAAAACAGCACCAGAAATGGCACCAACGGCAGCCCCTCTAACAAACCCACTCTCCGTCTCTTGCCCTATTAGAGCTCCGGTCATTGCTCCTAATAAAGTACCCACTACAGTGGAGGAACAAACAAGAAGTTTAGCTTCAATAATGTGAACCAGAGAAAATATCCCCCTTCAAAATGAGCCTCCCTTCACATAAATTTTCTAAACAGAATAACCCGTATTTATAACAATAATCCAAAATAGAACAGCTAAACAATTCAAAATCCACAAAAATAAAAAAATCCATATTCTGCTCAATCAAAACCAATTCATTCCGAAATTCGGGGAGAAGTCCCTATTTCAAGATAGGGGGAACTCATATTTAACAGAAATCACATTCATGGAGACTTATAAAATGAATCAAGAATCACAGCCATTTTATTAAGCAGTTGCAATATTGATAAACAATTAATACCTCTAGAATTCATTAATTTAAAAAAAAATGACGAAAAGCTAAAACAGAAATTCACCTATTGCAAAGAAAAAGGTGAAAATTGCAGAGAATACATTTCCTATAATTGCAGACACGGCGAAGCTGAAACATCCTTTAATTTTCTCAAGGAAATACCCAAATGATAACACGGAAGATGAAGATGGGGGCAAAGGAGATGGATATGTGTAAAATTCCATGAATTCTAATTCTCTACTTTGGAAATGATTGCAGTTTTTCCCAATTTATTTATTATTCCAAAAGATGATCCATCAACTTAGTCATTAAGTAAACATCTATATAAACAAATATCTACGTATGTATGTATAATTTTGTATACATCTGTAGATATATACATACACGTCTCTAGTTGGAGTGTAGAAAGTAGAAGCTATGGATTGAAATCTCCATTTTACCCCCACTTCTTTATGGAAATTGTGTAGAATAACCTATTTACAAAGTTTGTTTGGAAAAATAGCCTTTGACCAAAATATTAAAATTAAAATAAATATTTTAATATCTATATAAACAAATATCTACGTATGTATGTATAATTTTGTATACATCTGTAGATATACACATACACGTGTCTCTAGTTGGAATGTAGAAAGTGGAAGCTATGAATTGAAGTCTCCATTTTACCCCCGACTTCTTTGTGAAAATTGGGTAGAATAGCCTATTTACAAAGTTTGTTTGGAAAAATAGCCTTTGACCAAAATATTAAAATAAAAATAAATATTTTAATATTAAAAATACGAACTGTCTAAAATACCCTTAAACCAAACCAAAGCAAAAACAACAAAATTCAAAGTATCAATCCATTTCCAAATTAAAATCCCGTCTCCTTCCTATCAGATTCAAATTCTTCATCTCCTTCATCCTTCTTAAGTATGTTTGCAATATAATAGTGCATATGAAATTCGAAATTTCATTGGTGATGTTAATAGGTCTGATTTGCTATTTTGAAGTCTATGAGGCCGATAGCCACCCTCGTCAAAGATTGTGGAGGGTTTTGAAGGAAAGCACAACATTAATATCTACTACAAGGATGAGTGAATAGGTGTTATGAGAAGGTTGAATGCAGAATTTATCCCTTTTAGGATTTTGGACCTTCGAGTTCATATTGTTTAGCTCAGTGGGTGCTTGGTTCGGCTATATCAGGTGAAAATTACGAAGTTTCATATTTTCTTTTTATTTTGAAATGTTATGTTCTTATTATACATCTTTTAGATCATGCATATGAGATCTGATGAAAGGGTTAATTGGTTAAGTTGAGCATGCAAGTAACTAATTATTTTCATATGGTTTCTATTTAGGAATTAATCAATTAATAAAGAACTCCTTATTGCAAGTTCACTGCATTATAATTTTTGTAGATTGGATTTATTCAAATTCAACTCTTTTACTACCACTGTTCCCACCTCTACTGCCGTCCACATCGTGCCCCTATGTCTAAGAAGGTTTCAGTTATCCCTAGGTAAATATTCTTTTCCTTATAAGTGTATATTTATATGTGCTTTGTATTTCTTTCTTCTTCTTATTCTTTTTTTTTTTTGCCATAATTTTTGGTTGCAGTAATTACAGATTATTTTAATTTGGATTTAGTTTCAACGTATGAAGTTTTATTTGGTGTTTAAGGCTTCAGTTTCACATTCGTTTTTTATTTTATGTTGGGTTTAATTTCTTGTTTTCAAATAAGTATAGATGTGTTTTACCTCATAATTGGTTTGAAGCTAATTGAAAAGATGGGATTTTTTTTTTTTTTTTTAACTATTGAGTGCATTCTTGAACTTTGTTTTGTTTTGGCCATTCATTGGCATGAAGTTGACTATAATTTCTTATTTTTACCGAATGGAGCAAGTTAATTTCATTTTGTTGGAGCATAGTTTCTTCTTTTTTTTGGGAGTTGGTTTTTATACTAGATCTTATAGCTTTGTACGCATATTATATTTGCTTTGTTTAAACAACAATCACTTGTTGATTGCTTAGTAATTTTCATGGTTTGTGATAGGGTGTTACAAAAGAAAGGAACTTATGAATGAGTGAAAATGACTTAAAGAATAACTTAGGAATGATGAATAGATGTTATTCATCGTAAAGAGTAATTTGCAGTATGGTTCTTTACTTTACATGTGTACGTTTGAGGTGCCTTCTCCTGTAACCAACTAAATTTTTTGCCAGGCAATGACACTAACCATCAATCTTGTTTTTATTTTTGTTAAATTTTTTAGCTGAAAGTGGATTTAGACTATGTTTGGTCCTCTCTAGTCCCCAAAACCACATGATAGTAGTTTTTGAAGCTATATGGCATTCTAGGTTCTTCAATTTCTATTGGAGATTCACAATATAATCAATTACATTTGCCTTTCATCTAGTAATACTACTTCGGAAAGAGTTTGTTCAACAATTTTGATAGGTAGAAAATTGGCTAGTTCAGTTATTTTGCAGAGGCTAGATATAGCTTAAGATATATCCAGGTTAAGTTTTCAACTATCAATTTCACATATTGTACAAATTAATATTTTGTTCATGTTGTATTGCTATTAGGAAGTTTGTTTTATAAATTAAGTTTTAGATGTAGAGTTTTCTTTTCTTGATTTATTTTTTATTTTATATTTTTTGAGAACTTGACGATTGAGATCAGATGTCAATAAATGAAAATGTCCATAGTTGGGACTTGGGAATGACTATTTTCTACCTCAAGGTTTAAAATGAAATTTGAGAAAAATGTAGCGGATGTTCCCTACCTATTTTATGTGTTGTATCTTTGTTTTCAACATTTTAAAATGAGAATTTTTTAGTCATCAAACCATGATTCTGAAGAATGGTTTTGATTCAAATGATCGTTAAAATTGCTTTAGTCATATAAGATATGGGGAAAGAAATAAGAGTATAAAAATGTTGAAAAACTGATGTCTTTTTCTTGTATGAAAGTGGTGAGCAAAGTTTGGCTAATGTGTTCTAGAATGAAATGAATCGATTTTGACCACCGAGGCTTTACATTGAGAGAATTTAGTGAAACGAGTTGAGTAAAATATTTTACATTTAGAAACTTGCTCAATCAAAAGTTGTTACTTAGAGATTGATACATTGACAAACAATTCAGTATATTTATACTAGTAACGAAGTTGATTCGAGTTTTATTAAATTCGTCAATACAAGATAGTAAAACTAGTTTAAATGACACATAGCCTTTTAAAAAGACTTTATGTCGTATTGGGTCTTGGAGTCTCTATTTCACTAAAAAACTAGTAGATTATATTTTGGAACATCTTAGAAGACTTGTATAAGTTAAACGAGCTGATTTGTTGAATATTTTATCTCATAGCTAAAATATAATGAAATTTTAGTTACCTACCTTCGTTCATAGTATAATTTACTTATGAAACAATAGTGTTGGTACTATCATGTGAACTTTATATTGATTGTGGTGTCAAAATGTAGTGAAAATTGGGATTCATTGATTTTTAGTCGTGTGAACTTTTGTATTGACTTTGGTATTCAAATGTAGTAAAAATATGAATTCGTTCATTTTATGCGGATACGAGTAAATATAAAGTAAAAGAATATAAAAATAGTTGAAAAGACACACAATCGTCTAAAATGACATCATGCCATTTTGTGTCATAAATAACATGTCCAGCTTAAATGAGCAAAAAAGATGTGAACTGAACACTGAATTAGAAAAAATGGCAGTTGTACAACTAAGCCCCCATTTGGCCCTCATTTTTTGAAATGAAAATGGGTAGAATAGTGTTATTTTGAAAAATGAGTAGTCGAAAAAGAAGGAAAATTTTTCTATTTACGTAGAATATTATTTTATGGAAGATTGTGTGGTTGAAAATAGAAGAGAGAAAAATGAAATGAAATTTAATGAGAGCCAAATGGGGGGCTAAAATGTTCACATGCCATTTTAGGTGACGGGTCGATTTCAGTTCGAAACGTGCTATATTTTGTATACCTTAAACTGTAGTCATACTTGTAAAATGATCACATGTCGTTAGGCTTCGGATTTCACTTATATATGTTGAATGATTACATGTTCGATGTTTTTCATACCATATATCCTAAATGGCACCTGTACGAGTAAAATGACAATATGTCGTTTTGAGTCAAAGAGTCTCGATTTCATTCCAAAACTAGTAAAACAATGCTTGGAATATCATCCAAGACTATAAAATGTTTAAAAATTAAATGGCAACCATACATTTAAGCCATATACCCTAAACCCTATAAACTAAGTCCGAAACCCTAATCCCTAAATGATAACCACATGTTTAAAATGACCGGAAGCCATTTTGGGTTACGAGATACCGACTTCACTCTGAAACTAGTAAAACAGTGTTTAAAACATCATATATGACTTGTATACAATGAACGACTACACGTACTATGTTTGACATACCATATTTCAACTTAACGTTTTTATTTATTTTCAAGCGTAGTGTAGTATAGTTACTAGCTGAAATATAGAGTGGCTCACTATAGTTTGAACCAATGTGTTGATGAAATGTAGTTAAAACTTTCATCTTCAAACTTTCAAGTGGTTGCGGAAGCAAATAAATCAAAATGAACACAAAATGAGTAGATATGACAATCAAACATTTAAAAGGACCAGATGCCTTTTTCAGTTACAAGGTATTTATTTTACTTCGAAACTAGTAAAATGGTGTTTGAAATCTCATACATGACTTGTACACATTGAATGACTATACGTCCTATGTTTTGTATACCATACTTTCTACTTTCGTTTTTCTTTATTATAAAGTGCAGTGTAGTATAGTTTTCAACTAGATTATAGAATGCCTCGCTCTAGTTTGAATCAATGTGTCGACAAAATATAGTTCAAACTCTCATCCGTACACTTTCAAGTGGTTATGGGCTGAACAAATCGAAATGTACACTAAATGAATAGAAACGTCACTTATATGTTTAAAATGACTAGATGCCTTTTTGGGTCACGAGGTATCGATTTCACTTTGAAACTAGCAAAACAGTGTTTGAAACATCATACATGACTTGTATATATTGAACAATCACACGTGCTATGTTTTGTATACCTTACTTGATACTTATCCTTAAACTTTCAAGTGGTTACGGCCGTGAATAAACCAAAATGAACACGAAATGAGTAGATTCGTTACTCATACATTTAAAATGATTAGATGTCTTTTTAGGTCATGAGGTATCGATTTCACTTTGAAACTAGTAAAACAGTATTTGAAACATCATACATGACTTGTATACATTGAATGATTGCACGTGCTATGTTTTGCATACTAAACTT